CAAACGGTGTAAACAAGTTGGGATTTAATCATCCTGTCTGTTTGTATGTATATTGATGGTCTCCTTTACAAATTGAAGTCACTTGGGAAAGGATGCTTTATAGGTAAAAATCTTTGCAGGTGCTTTTTCATATGCTGATGATTTGATTATTTTATCACCAAATGTGTCAGCTTTACAAAAAAAAATATTGTATTTGTCCGGATCAAGCTCTTTAATTTGATTTAAAATTTGATAGTAAGATAAGTCAACTTATTAAATTTAAATGTGATGGAAAAGAAGTGGTGGATCCTTTGATAAATATTAATGGGAAACCTGTCAAAATAGTCGATATGTCATCTTGGACAAGTTATTTCCCATGAGTGCAATGGAGGATGTCATAAGGAATGTTGAGCAAAAAAGAGAATGGGTCTGTTAAAGGGATTACAGAAAATATTAATTCCTAATTTCTGAAAAGGTTTTAGATTGTATTACTTATCTTCGTCTGCATTAGATTGGCAGAGATGGAATACTATCATCATGGAGACGGCAGATGAAAGGTTGACTTGTTAGGGAGTGTTGCTTTACACCGTTTCAGTTTTTTAAATAGTTAAAATTTAATTTGTATTCCTTTAGACAGTTCAGTTATCAATATCAGTGCCACTGCGCATAGCCATTTATGAGTATGGTGCAATGGGTTCATTTGAGCGTGTGTCTTGGTGCGTGTTTGTATGTGTGTAAAAGCGAGAAAGTGACACAATTGGACAGTGAGTGTGTATCTGCGTGTATGAGAAAGAGGGGGATGGAAAGAGATAATGTGAGAGAGAAAAAAGTGACAAAGAGAGGGGAGAGAGAGACAGATAGAGCGAAAGAAGACAGATAGAGAGAAAGTACAAAGGGACTACTCGGAGTTTTAAAAGTTAAATGAAACCAGAAAGAGAAGAATAAGGGAATCACACGGAGACAGAGGGAGAGGGGGAGACTTGACAGTAATTCCCGTTTACAGACCTAAGACGTAGGAATACATTAAAGTCTGGCATTCAAACGCTCTGTACTTGACATCTAATTTCAAATTGCAACACCATCCCCGCCTCCGATTAATTAAAAAAATGGCAATGCGTGTACAATAAAATGATGCAATTCACGAATACACAGATATATGTGTATAATACAGTTTATATTAGATATTTAGTTGTATACACAAACACATTTAATATCCAACCATTTTCAACATCGGTTTGCAAGAATTTTCCACATTTGTCCAGTTTTTAATCATTTACTAGCCCTACCAAGCTCCGCCCTTAAAAGTAGTTCTGGTTCAACGTTATTATCCCTTCGCTAATTAGGATGATACCAGACATTATTATATGACGTGGCTTTCAAACAGGCTTCCTGTACTTTACTAGTTCATGATAGAGTACGAGCCATCTGTCAATGTTTATGTTCCTACGCCTCAATATTGATTGTATTAACAACCTGGTAATTAAAACGCCCAATCGCTTACACCACATTAAAATGAATATAATAAAACGTTTAATCTTCACTTTTCTATAATCATGTTTAGTCTCGCCGTTATTCATGTTGTTGTTGTTGCTGTTGTTGTTGCTGTTGTTGCTGTTGTTGTTGTGGTCGTGTTGACAAAAATATAACCTACTTTGTAGCTCTCGCTAAAAAGACGCGTGAATTTTTTATATAAAATGTAGCAAAAATATCTTTTTAAACAAATCTTTGCAGGGAATCGTTCTCGTTTTTCAAGATTTCAATTTCGAGTTTCATATCTGTTCAGAGCCAGAAATGCATTGAATGTGTGCCAAAATATGTACGTTTTTCTAGCTCCATATCTGTTTTCTTAAATCAATCTTTCATTCGCAATGAATTAAATTGCGCCTTTTTTCCAATCTTTCAAGTACCTTATTGATTCATTTCAATACCAAACTCGCAAACTAAACAGATTTTTTTTCTTTGATTGTTTGAACTCCACATTTCAACTAATTACAATCATGGGATGCGCCCTCAGTCTTTGTTTTTGTGTGTGTCTTTGTCTGTGTTTTGTTTTGTTTCTTAATCACCTGCTAGTTTGCTAGGTGTGGTTATTCTAGTTCCATTATTTATTTATTTATTTATTTAAAATGGTTTATTTCATTAAAAAACATTCGCGGCCCGAGAGCCGAATTGCAGTTTCTTTTACAAAGTATATATCATTGACAAAGTAAAATTACACGTAAAACATTATGCATGGTAGCATTATGGAATATGTTAATCATATCTAATTGTAACGAAGAACTAAGTCCATGAATAGAGATCAATTTTGACTATTTAGAAAACATTACATTCAAATTTAGTTTATTTCCACATGTGGTTCATAAAAAAACAAAAAACACAATATTTCAACCGCGATGGAATAAGTGCTGAACAAAACAGAAATAGCACCGGAATATGACCGGAATCACCCAGTCCGAATGCATTCACTCCAAATTCCTTCTAAGATACTCGAAAACTTAACCTATTTAAAACTATTTCGGTTATTCTTTTCATTCGCAGCGTGTACTTTTCTCATCTATTTGTATTAAGGTATCACTGGGCGATTTCAGTATTCATGGGAATTGATATGTAGGCATTTAACAAAAAATGCTGTTATCATTGTTATAATCATAATTATTCTCATTATCATTATTATCATTATCGTCATCATTATTATTAGCATTATTATTAGCATTACAATTATTATTACAATTGTTATTACTATCGTTATAATTATTGATATGATTATAGTTATTATTATTTCATTGTTTTCTCATTTTTGGGTAAGTGTATATTACCAATGATATTATTATTTTAAGAAGAATTTATTTCGAAATAGCAAAGAAAGTTTCTGCAACCCACAGATCCTTGATTTTCACTTTCGGTTTAGCTCTTTTCAGCTTCTTCTTTTTGTTTTTTCTTTGTTTATTACAAAAAGGCAAACGACCCTCTAAAACAATTTCTGTTAAGTTATTTTAATGATGACTTAGAGAAACGTGTGTGTGTGTGTACACAAACTTTCCTGACCTTTCCGTTTCAATTAGTTCCGCCCTGTTCTTTTCCCCCTGTCTGGTGGCAGTATGATTACATTTGTATGAGGTATTAGCTACTGCGCAGTCGATATTGACAGTTCTGCACAGCATGAATAGTTTAAACACGACGTGTACACGATGATATGATGTACTTTTTTGTAATATATTGCATGAACAGCTTGTTTTCTTTGTCAACGGGGGTTCATAGCCCTTTCGGGGTCTTGTGTCTGATTGAAAAAAGAAGATTATCTTTAGTGACTTTCATCATTCATGTACTTAGTGACCTTAATGTACTTTATTCACGCTCTATTCACATTTGGGCTAATGATTCCTAGTCCTCAAATCGTATAAATAGACGAAGGTATGAGTCGACTGAACCATTCCTGACTTCGTTGCAGAACATTTCGTCATCTTCTCTCTTCACTTGGTGAGTATACTGTATTCTACATACTTGGTCGGCTTGAAACTCAATCAACTCCAGAGAAGGAGGTTTTACAGTTTGCTCCACTGTTGGAGAGTGAGAACAAACCTTACACAAAAGACTTTAAATAAGTTAATAGAACCATATAACAACGAGGCTCTCGAATATGACTAATATAGTATCGTAATTTGAGAGATATCCCCGACTCTAGCTAAACGTGCGGCATCGTTTTCCTGTGAGAAAGTATTTTGCAATTTGGTGTCGAATCCCAAAATATATTCTGTTCGAAAATTTTAAAAATACAAAAAGATTTTAATCTTTCATTACAGCATAACTTGTACAACACTTTGCTCTCACCTTTGGCAAACCATTAAATAGTTTGTTATGTTGCTGTAATCTTATGTTACGATATTTTACGTGTGATGGTGGTCTGGCAACTTTCTCGTCGCTGTGAATATAACGGGAAAAATGGTTGAACATGCAAGTTTGATGAATGTGTAGGTCTGAAGAAAAAGAAGAAGCATATTAACCAAAAAACTCATACATTCTCTTTTGAAATGAATTCATGTTTTGCAAAATAAATTATACATTGATGTCTGTGATTGATTTTTTGTCACAATTGTTTATAATAATTGGTCTGTTGGAAATGAAAATAAAACTGAAACTGAAAATCAAAGCCACGCCGACGAGACCGACGAAAGACCCAAAATAGACTGATCATAAACTTACTTTACATCGAACGGCCAAGAATTGATGAGTTTTGAAACGGCTTGGGCTCCATTTGGCGGTGTGACTGTGGTATAAATCTTTGAATATAATGGAAAGGTAGACAATTTTTAGGGAAATAATCTAAGTAGAAACATGATTACAGTAAAAATAGTGACTGTGCTTTGATTTAAAAAAAAATGTCTTCGCTTTCCTAGTAACCAGCAACTAAAACCCAATCACAATGGCCAGGGCTCTGTTCTTCGTTCTTGCCGCCATCCTCATCGTGGCCACCCTCGCCGAGGAGCTCGAGGAGTATGAGAACACCATGGAGGACTTCTTCATGGCTGAGAAGAGGGGACAGAACATGAAGAAATACAAGTGTAAGTAATAAAATATTTCCCAGCAAACATCGGAAGGGGATGGCAAGAGAAACAGGACAAGGTAACTCTTGCATAAAAAGATGCGTTTAAACTCAACTGAGGAAATAAGAAACACGAGTCCCGAATACTTTATGATTGATGGAAAAAGTCAAGCTGTGTTTAATTTGCTGATTACATTTATTTGCAACATTTTGATGCAAAAGGGTCAGGATGAAGTGATGGGACCATTCTACCCAGTTCCCTGGGATAGCCGCACATATACTTTAATAAATATAAAATATGTTTACATCCTACAGGTTTCGAACCTGGGACCTCCTGGTTACGAGGCCACTGGTCCTGCTCTTTCATTGAGCCATCTCGCTTTCTCAATGCAATTGAATTATTAAGATTTCTATCAAAAAGTACAGTTTTCTATTTTTGACTTATATGTGATACATTTTTTTACCTTTGCCCCTTTCTTCAGCTTGCGACGCATTCGGTCAAACGTGCTTCTGCAGCAGGAGGACCTCCAAAATCGTGTTCTGCAGTGGTGAGTTCAGATTAGGCCATATAAAGATAATTAGTAGTTTTTCATCCCCTCCTTCCCACCTTTTGTTGTTGCCCACTTCAATTATCTTTTTATTTGATATTTAACTCAGAAATTACAATACGAATTAACTAGAAGACGTGTAGATATTTAGATAGCTGAAATCATAACACGATTGAAATCATCCTCCCAGGGACATGTACAAATTTGTGTCAAAATTGACTTCTTCTGAAGAAGAGATAATTTCAAATGCAGAATATTTTCGAGAAAAAAAACAGGACCAGAAACCAGGAATCAAGTTTACCTTGCCTTAATTTTGGTTAAAATTTTACTTATGAACCTATATTAAAATTTGAGGTTATCTTCAATTATTAATTAAACATTAAAGTGATTAAGAGGACCTTCTAAAAGACGATAAATGGATCTAGTACTAAGCAACCCTTGTCAATTCTTTTGTTAGACACTGACTAAAAGAAATGGAGTGTTTTTTAGTTAGCAAATGGAAGGAACGTTACGTTTCCCGAAATGCATATCGTATGTTGTTTAATTTTTAATTGTAAAATTGTCCTCAACTTATTTATAATATAAACATGTCGCATACTGTAAATATGTTTGTATCTTTTGCCATTTATTTTAGTTATATTCTTTTAATTTGTTTTGACCAAAATGCTGCATTTTTAACTGGGCTCAGGGCCTGGCACTAAACATGCATTGATTTTTTTTAAAGCATGCTCTTCTATTCCAATGTATTCAGTTAGGTCACTAATTATTATTTGTATAATTTGTCTTCATATCTCTTTTTTGTCTTCCTTGCAAATTTATTACATTGTTTTGTGCTGTGTTGATTAATGTATCAATATAGGCCTATAAATATATATATATATCATGTGCATTCCAACAAGTACACGGAACAAATGAATGTATAAAATTAAGTTATAAGAATATAAATGATTGCGATGCATCTCTGAATATACAATCACAAAGACCCTGTGATGGATTAATTTTAAAATCACACTTTGGAAATGAAGCGATTTTAGTTTTTGCAATATAAAACGTATTCATTAACGCTGTATATTTTAATGCTGGAACCCTGTCTTCAACCCTTTTTTTCAGGTGCTGGAAACGGTGATAGCATGTAAACACACTATTCGAAACACTGGATACTGAACGAATCTCGAACCAACTCCTGACTGACTCCGAATCGCTTCCGAACTGACTCCGAATCGCCTCCGAACCGTCCGCTTAAAGACGGAAAGAAAGCAACAATTAAAAATGGGGAATATATGTTTATAGAATGGCCGAGCTGTATTACATGTATTTCCCTCTCACTCATTTGTAATGATCAGCAAATAAACAAAAGCATAAGGAAATGTTTTCCCTTTTCTTTGCATTTTATCTACGTTTAATAACTAGGTTCGGTGGAAGAAGAAAGGGAACATAGAAAGAGAAAGAGATACATATTCAAGAGGAGTGAGAAAGAGAAAGACATAGGCTGAGGAGAGTGAGAGAGGGCAAAGAAGGATTGAAATCAGATATTTGCATACATGCAAGAAAAGAACCGCGAAGTCGATGATAGACAGTTACAGAGTAGAGACGTAAACATATATATATTGTAGAAATAGATAGGAGAGAGAGAGAGAAGGGAGGGATAGAGAGAGAGAGAGAGAGAGAGAGAGAGAGAGAGAGAGAGAGAGAGGGGAGAGGGTGAGAGAAAGTGAGAGAAAGATAGCGAGTTGGAGAGAGGGGAGGGATAGAGAGAGGAAGAGAGGGGAGACTGAAGATGACAGAAGGGGAGAGAGAGAGAGAGAGAGAGGGAGAGAGATAGAGAGAGAGAGAGATGGGGGGGGGGGGGGAGGGGCAATAGAGATTCTATAGATGTTGTTGGATACACATGCAGGTGGCGAAGGATGGCAAGTGGAAGATTTTAATTCAAACTATTCATATAGTCAGTCTTAGCTATTGTTACTCGTATCAAATTTTCTTTCATCAGTTAAATCGGAGCCCCAATGTTAAAGGTAATACAAAGTTTTGGTATGGGGGGTCATGAATTTAGTTCAAATGAACATATTGGAAGCATATGTGATCCTACAATATTCAGTGATCGTTGTGGGGTTGAAATCGAGTCTAAAGTTATGAAATTGTAAATAATAAACTCTTTATGTTGTATAGCTCCCTCTCAAGGCCAAGATATTGATGAGGCCATAAAACAATGTTTCTTGACTAAAATCGACCGATTAGCTATTTCCGTTTGGAAATTATATATCACAACTACATATTCTGAGAATTCCGTGGTCGCAGCTACCATTGTACGGCCGTCGGCGCTATTTGAAATTTATCAAAATTTACCGGGAGCACCGGTAAATTTTTATATTCAATTTTTCTCAAAAATAGAAGTGTTTTAGGGGCTAAAATTTCTAATGCTTATAATACATCCACAGGGGCATCCAAATATATCAAAATTATAAGGAATCACCATCTTCCCAATTTTCAAAAATTTCCAAAACTTTGTATTACCTTTAATCCTAATGCTACCTCAACTCTAAATCATAAACTCTAAATGAGAATTTTTTTCGTATTGCTCATTATCTTTAAATCTACTATCAAAATTTGCTTACCTTCAGTCTTCATAATTTCTTCGCGTACGCCCGTAGTTACAAAACTCGATAATTTTGTCAGTACTTTTACAAACACGCACCCACACCCACGCACACATGAGTACATTGCATCATACTCATAAATTGCTATGCGCACTGGCAATGATATTGACAACTGAAACCTATCCCCTGAAATGCCTATAGGAACGCAAATTAAATCTTAACCCATTTACAAAACAGAAACCATATAAAGCAGCCCGCCCTATTAAACAAGTCTACCATTTAATTCTCGTCTCACTAATAACAATATTCCATCTCTGCCAATCTAATGCAGCAGAAATAAGTGATACAATTAATAACCCTTTTGAGAACTTAATAAATATTCTCTGTTATCCCTTATATACAGAGCGATATCCTTTTTTGCTCCACTCTCCTTATGATATCATCCAATTCACCACATATAGTGCATTCCATCTTGCTTTCAGTTTTGTATACTCTAACTTTATTTACTATCTGGATATCAAGAATACCTCCTAAAATAAAATATGCTTCAAATATTCTCATTCATGTTATATATGATACTGTATGATTATGTTGAGTTTAAAGATTTAACTATAAAAACTCAGACATCTTTTTATAAAACTATAATTCAGGGTTCATCAATTTAGCCAGAAACAGCAAGTACACATTTTGTGATTGCCATGGAACTTTCCCCTCCTTGAAAGATTTTTAAAGAGAACATAACGAACATCGCATTTAGCATATTAAAAATCACAGAATTGACGATTAAAATCGCAAATGATTATGGAAAGATCCACATTCAACAACAGAGATTATCAGTATACATACAAACAGACAGGGTAATTAAATCCCAACTTGTTTAACACTGTTAGTAACCATTAACAAATCAGAATTCAACTCTATTCCATCTAAGTCTAATATGTTGATCGAAATACATATTCAAAAGCAGCTTGTAGAGCATACGACAGATCCCTTTAGGAAGCATTATTTCAAATAGTTTTGAAACCGCCCTCGCATACAACCATTTTCAATCGTAGGTTGATGGATAAGGCCTATGCAAAAATCGAATATAATATGATCACCTCATAATTACTCATGGTTTCGAAAATGAATCAACGTTGATCAAGTAACTAAATGCTACAGTACATATGTGATTTCAGATGTATGGTTGCATTATGGTTTCATTTAGGGTTTCGGATTTAGAGTAAAGCCCCTACCACACCAAACTAGTTCTCATAACGTTCTGTTACCGTCCTGGAAAATAGTAAAAACGGGTTGTGGTCGGGGTGGAATGTGTAAATATTGTCTATATCACGATCCTAGTTCGTTCATAAACAGTCAACAATACGTCCATCTCGTCTGTACCCCATCCAAAGTCAGTTCATATCAAGTTGAGATAAATTTGCCATTTCAAGGCAGTCCAAACAAGTCCGTGATGTGTTCAAACCCATTATTAACTAGTTGAACCTCGTTCCCAATACGAACAAACCCATTCTAACTAGTTCAGAGACAGTTCAGCTCCTCCTCGTCGCGTTCTGAGTGCATTCGAACGCGCTCCTATAGCGTGTGCGACCGCGTCCTGGCCGAAGGGTCATACAACCCCAACGCGTTCTTGCCATTCTTTATTCCCGTTCAACTTCAACGATTCAAGGTGTGCTGCGCAAGACATTCAAGTAAGTGAAGCCCCCATCACACCAAACTACTTCTCACTACGTTCTGTAAAATGTTTCCAAACGGGCTCAAACTGTGTGAGGATGTAGTGAACGTAGTAGCACCTGTATACGATCTGTTTAAGAACTTTATGGAAGGGCTCGGACTGTCTTGGACGGGAAGGATGGTCCAGAACTTTGAGATTGTTCAAAATTTTCCCGTCCTACAAACTAAATTGAGTGACAACGTACTTAAAACGAAATGGACGTCATACGAACGGAATTGCCGTACTTCGGTCCTACTAGGAACGTGTTACAACGTGACGTAGTCGACTAGCAGTATTATAATTGAACGGAAATGAGGAATGACAAGATCGCGCTGGGTTTTTATAGCCATGATGCCTATATGCGTTCGAACGCACTAAGAACGAAATGAGGACGAATTGAACTATCCCTGAACGGGTCGGTCGGGTTAAAAACTATTTAGAACAAGTTGCGAACTAGTTAGAATGGTTTGGACGTATTGGGAAAGAGGTAAAACTGGTTAAGAACTGGTTTAAACTGATTACAGACGGGCTTGGACTGCACATTCTATTTACACATTCTACCCCGACCATAACACATTTTTTTGACGATTTTCTAGGACGATTCTAGAACGTATTGAGAACTAGTTTTGTGTGACGCATAGCTTGCATCGAAATCTTCACTTGTCATCCTTTGCCGCCACCATGTATAGCCAACAACACCTATCAAGTCCCCTTTGCCCCCCCTTCTCTCTCTCTCTCTCTCTCTCTCCCTCTCTCTCTCTCTCTCCCTCACTCTCTCCCCACTCTCTCCCCCTCTCGCTCTCTCTCCCTCCCCTCTCTCCAACTCGCTATATGGCTCTCCCTTCCTCTCACCCTCTCCCCTCTCTCTCCTTCTCCTCTCTCCAACTCTCTATATTTCTCTCCTACTCGCTCTCTCCCCTATCTCTCTCCCATGTCTCTCCATCTCTGTAAACAAATATCTATTCATACAATATATATACATTTACGTCTCTATCTGTCTATTATTGACTTCGCAGTTCTTCTCTTGTATCTGTGCAAATATCTGACTTCAATTCTCTCTCCTTCTGTGCCCTCTCTCACTCTCCTCATTCTATGTCTTTCTCTTTCTCACACCTGTTCTTGAACCATGTATCTCTTTCTCTTCCAATGTTCTCCTTCTTCATCGACCGAACATAGTTATTAAACGTAGATGAAATGCAAAGAAAAGGGAAAAAGGTAGACGAGAAAATAATAATTTCCTTATGCTTTTGTTTATTTGCTGATCATTACAAATGAGTGAGAGGGAAATACATGTAATACAGCTCGGCCATTCTATAAACATATATTCCCCATTTTTAATTGTTGCTTTCTTTCCGTCTTTAAGCGGACGGTTCGGAGGCGATTCGGAGTCAGTTCGGAAGCGATTCGGAGTCAGTCAGGAGTTGGTTCGAGATTCGTTCAGTATCCAGTGTTTCGAATAGTGTGTTTACATGCTATCACCGTTTCCAGCACCTGAAAAAAGGGTTGAAGACAGGGTTCCAGCATTAAAAAATACAGCGTTAATGAATACGTTTTATATTGCAAAAACTAAAATCGTTTCATTTCCAAAGTGTGATTTTAAAATTAATCCATCACAGGGTGTTTGTGATTGTATATTCAGAGATGCATCGCAATCATTTATATTCTTATAACTTAATTTTATACATTCATTTGTTCCGTGTAATTGTTGGAATGCACATGATATATATATATATATATATATATATATATTTATTTATAGGCCTTTATTGATACATTATTCAACACAACACAAAACAATGTAATAAATTTGCAAGGAAGACAAAAAAGAGATATGAAGACAAATTATACAAATAATAATAAGTGACCTAACTGAATACATTGGAATAGAGGAGAATGCTTTAAAAAAAAAAATCAATGCATGTTTAGTGCCAGCCCCTGAGCCAAGTTAAAAATGCAGCATTTTGGTCAAAACAAATTAAAATAATATAATTAAAATAAATGGCAACAGATACAAACATATTTACGGTATGCGACATGTTTATATTATAAATTAGTTGAGGAGAATTTTACAATTAAAAATTAAACAACATACGATATGCATTTCGGGAAACGTAACGTTCCTACCATTTGCTAACTAAACACTCCATTTCTTTTAGTCAGTGTCTAACAAAAAAATTTGACAAGGGTTGTTTAGTACTAAATCCATTTATCATCTTTTAGAAGGTCCTCTTAATCACTTTAATATTTAATTAATAATTGAAGATAACCTCAAATTTAATATAAGTTCATAACAAAAATTTTAACCAAAATTAAGGCAAGGTAAACTTGATTCCTGGTTTCTGGTCCTGTTTTTTTTCTCGAAAATATTCTGCATTTGAAATTATCCCTAGGAGGATGATTTCAATCGTGTTATGATTTCAGCTATCTAAATATCTACACGTCCTCTAGTTAATTCGTGTAATTTCTGAATGAAATATCAAATAAAAAGACAATTTAAGTGGGCAACAACAAAAGGTGGGAAGGAGGGGATGAAAAACTACTAATTATCTTTATCTGGCCTAATCTGAACTCACCACTGCAGAACACGATTTTGGAGGTCCTCCTGCTGCAGAAGCACGTTTGACCGAATGCGTCGCAAGCTGAAGAAAGGGGCAAAGGTGAAAAAATGTATCACATATAAGTCAAAAATAGATAATCATATTTTTGAATACAAATATTGATAATTCAGTTGTATTGAGTTAGTGAGATGGTTCAGGAAGAGCAGGACCAGTGGTCTCGTTACCGGGATATACCGGGTTCGAAACCAAGTCAATGTGCTACTGCCCTTTGCTAAAGCATTGGTGTTCATTACCAAGTCCCTCGGAGAGGCTTTGATTTGATTTGATTTGATTTATTTATTTCTGTTTGATTTTCTTTTTCTTTTGCATTTTTACAAATATATAACAAACAAATATTGCGAATTTACACATGACAAAAGAATATATGTAGAATAAAGTAAAGCTGGGTGTAACTAATCGAGAACATCAAACAGGAGGGTTGACAAAATAAGCAAAGCTTGATAGTATGACTACCCTCAAAGGATACATAATGATACAAATATGGAGGAACAAAATATTAAACAACATCAATCATAATGCTATAACCCAGAGATATCTGTATTACCACAACAATCGCAGTTAATCTCTCATTGCCATTTTCGAATCGTTTTCACACTCTGTTGGATATGCGCATGTCGAGGATTTGATCAAGTCAATCACACATAAGTTGAGTAAAAACAACTGATATTGCTTCTCTCTATCCAGACGTACAAATGACTACTCTGTAGGATGCAAACAATTTTTATTTGTGTTAAAATATATGTGCGGCTATCCCAACGGATGGGCTAGACTGCTCCTATCCCTTCAATCTGATCCTTTTCTATCAAAATGTTGCAATTAAACGTAATAAAAAATTGAACACAGCTTGATTTTTCAATCAATCAGAATCACGTATTCGGGGCATGTGATTTTTATTTCCTCAATTGAGTTTTGACGCAACTTTCTATGCAAGAGGTCCCCTGACCTGTTTCTTTTGCCAACTCCTTCCGTTGTTTGCTGGGAAATATTGTATTACTTACACTTGTACTTCTTCATGTTCTGTCCCCTCTTCTCAGCCATGAAGAAGTCCTCCATGGTGTTCTCATACTCCTCGAGCTCCTCGGCGAGGGTGGCCACGATGAGGATGGCGGCAAGAACGAAGAACAGAGCCCTGGCCATTGTGATTGGGTTTTAGTTGCTGGTTACTAGGAAAGCAAAGAAATAAAAAAAAAAAACTCATAAACATAGCCACTATATTTACTGTAATTATGTTTCTGCTAAGATTATTCGCCTAAAATTTTCTACATTTCAATTATATTAAAAGATTTATACCACAGTCACACCGCCAAATGGAGCCCAAGCCGTTTCAAAACTCACCAATTCTTGGCCGTTCGATGTAAAGTAATTTTATGATCAGTCTATTTTTGTTCTTTCGTCGGTCTCGTTGGCGTTTAGTTGTTATTCAGTTTTTCAATTTCAGTTTCAGCTTATTTTTATTTCCAACAGAACGATTAGTACATGTATAAACAACTATGACAAGGAATCAATCACAGAAATCAATGTATAATTTATTTTGCAAAGCATTAATTGCATTTCAAAAGAGAATGTATACATTGATTGAAAGTTATGCCTCTTCTTTTTTTCAGACCTACACATTCATCAAGCTTGTTCAACCATTTTTTTGGAGCCAAAGGTGAGAGGAAAGTGCTGTACAAGTTATGCTGCCATCACAGATTCATATATCTTTTGTATTTAAAAAAATTTCGAACAAATATATTATGTGATTCGACATTAAATTGCAAAATAAATTCTCACAGGAAAACGATGCTGCAAATTTCGCAAGAGTCGGGATACTCTCCCATTAAGAGATAGAGAGTAGGAGAATGAGAGAGAGAGCGCGTATGTGCATGTATGCGGGTGTGTGATATTGTAATATGGTTCTATTAACTAAAGTCTTTTTTTAAATGTTTGTTTTCACTCTCCAACAGTGGAGCAAACTGTAAAATTTCCTTTTCTGGAGTTGATTGAATCTGAAGCCGACCAAGTATGTAGAATACAGTATACTCACCAAGTGAAGAGAGAAGATGACGAAATGTTCTGCAACGAAGTCAGGAATGGTTCAGTCGACTCATACCTTCGTTTATTTATACTAACTTTACTCGTGTAGGAGCGTGAATAAAGTACATTAAAGACATTAAAGATAATCTTCCTTTTTTCAATCAGACACAAGACCCCGAAAGGGCTATGAACCCCCGTTAACAAAGAAAACAAGCTGTTCATGCAATATATTACAAAAAGTTCATAATGTCATCGTGCTTAAACTATCCATGCTGTGCAGTCTTGTCAATATCGACTGCGCAGTAGCAAAGACATCATATACATTTAATCATACTGCCACCAGAAAGGGGAAAAAGAACAGGGCGGAACTAATTGAAATGTAAAGGTCAGGAAAGTTTGTGTACACACACACACACACACACACACACACACACACACGTGTCACATTGAGTCATTAAAAAACTCTTACAAAGTTATTTAAGAGGGTCGTTTGCTTTTTCTAAAGAAAAAAAAAAGAAGCTGAAAAGAGCTATATCGAAAGTGGAAATCAAGGTTCTATGGGTCGCAACAAAAATTTCTTTGGTATTTCGATATAATACTTCACAAAATAATAGTAACATAGGAAGTAAACTAACAATGAGAAAATATATATATTAATATATTTTATAGTAACGATTATAATACCGCTAATAATGATAATAATAATGATAATAATAATAATAATAATTATGATACTAATAATACATATAATAATGATAATAATAATGATAATAATTATAATGATAATGATAATAATAATATTAACAATAATAACAATAATAACAGAAACTTTTCAAATACTTACATATCGATTCGAATGAATACCGAAATCTTCATATATATATACAAATAGGAAAGAAAAGTACGTGTTGCAAATAAAGAGAATAGACAGCATTAGCAAAAATAATCGAAATAATTTGACAAAGGATAGGTTTTCAAGTATCTTAGGTAGGAATTTTGAGTGCATGCCTTCGGACTGGGTGATTCCGGTCATATTCCGTTGAAATGTCGGTTTCGTTCAGCAGTTATTCCACCGAGGTTCAAATAATGTGGTTATTTCTCTTTTTTCATGAACAACGTGTTGAAATGAACCCCACTTGAATTTAATATTTTCTAAATGGTCAAAATTGATCTCTGTACATGAACGTATTTTGTGTTACATTTAAATATGATTAAACATGATGGAAATAGAATAACCACACCTAGAAAACTGACAGGTGATTAACAAACAAAAAACACAAACACGCAACACACAACACAAAAATGAGGGCGCACCCCACGATAGTATTGAAGCAGATGAAATGTGGAGTTTAAACAAAAAACAAAAAAAAACACAACTAAAACGGTTACTTTAATATGCGAGATCTTGGTGAGTTTGGTAGTATAAAGATCAAATGAGGTACTTGAATGAATGGAAAAAAAGGGGGCGCAATTTCATGAATGAAAGATTGATCAAAAACAAATATGGGGCTAGAAGGGCGTTTATCCATTTTACCTTAACACACATTATTGCCTTTCTGGCTCTGAACAGATGATATAAAACTCAAAAATTTAATCTTGAAAAACGAGAACGATTCCCTGCAAGACTTGTGGATAAATATTTCATTTTCATTTTATATATACAAATATGAAAAATATATTAAATAAATACTTCTTCTTAGCGAGAGTTGGAAAATAGGGTAATTTTGCCAACACAACAGCAACAACAACCACAGCAATAACGGCGAGACTAAAAATGATTATACAAAATTGAGGATATTACGTTGTACTTTTGTTTTACATATTAATTCTGAAACTATTCTGTTAACATTAATGTGGTGTAAGCGATGGGGCGTACTTATTACCGGGCTTTATCAATGGATATGGGGGCGTAGGAACATAAACATTGACAGATGGCTCGTGCTCTCATGAACTAGGAAGCCTGTACAGGAAGCCTATTTGAAAGCCACGTCATATAATAAAGTCTGGTATCATCCTAATCAGCGAAGGGATAATAATTTTGAACCAGAACTACTTTTAGGGGCGGAGCTTGGTAGGGCTAGTAAATGAATAAAACCAGAAAAATATGGAAAATTCTTGCGAAGCCATGTTGAAAATGGTTAGCTATTGAATGTGTTTGTGTATACATATAAATATCGAAACGGTATTGGACACATATACATGTGTATTCGTGAATTGCATCATTTACTGTACACGCATTGCCAGTTTTTGAATTACTCCGAGCCGGGGATGCAATTTGTAATTAGATGTCATGTTCTGAGCGTTTTAATTGCCAGGCTTTGACGTATTGGTACGTCAGTAGATGATTAGGTCTGTATTGGGTATTGCTGTCAAGTCCCCCCCCCCTTTCTCTTTTTCCGTGTGATTCCCTTATTCCTATCTTTCTGGTTTCATTTAAATTTTTAGGATTCTGAGAAGTCCCTTCTTACTCTCTCTTTCTCTCTCTCTCTCGCTCTCTCTCTCTCTCCCTCTTTGTTCTCTCTCTCTCTTTCTCTATCTCTCTCTGTCTCCTCATCCCCCTTTCTCCCTCCCTCTCTCTCTCTCTCTGTCTCTCTCTCTCTCTTTTTCTCTCTCTCTCTCTCTCTCTCTCTCACAATATCTCTTTCCCTCCCCTTCTTTCTCACACATCGAGATACATACTCACTGTCCAATTTTGCGACTTTTTCTCGCTCTTACGCACAAACAAACACGCATAACACACGCGTGCGCCCACCCACACAAGCAAACACACATACTCATTCTTCATATACATACTAAATTAGCTAAATTTATAAACCGAAAAGAAATTACTTTCTTTTCTAATTCAGTTTGCGAGAAATAAACAGTCGAGGAGTCTTCATGTATTTTATTTTAGTTTTTTACTATTGGATAGATCATACCAAGAACATCACATCAAACTGAGTGTAGACGGCCGTGTCATTCATTCAAGGGACATTAAATGAACTCTAAGTGTCCATGAAAAAAACATTCATAGGGTTAAGCACTGTAATGCCGATTACGGTTCCAAGAGGGAGGTCGGTTCGATATATCCGGGTTAGCGTGGGGCTTTACATACTGTCTCCAGTTCCAGCGCCTGAATTATAAAACAAACAAAAAGGAAGTGTTTTGCAAATTATACATTAAATTATACAAAAGTGAAATAAGAAAGGAAACTAGAATTGGTAGTAACTTTATACATTATCACGGATGTAACTCTAGAAAACAAATAACCAAACAATAGACTGGTGCTTTACATTACCCTACAACATGATCACTCTATTATATTGTGCTCTCTGCATACGCGAATATTAAAATTAACTTACACAGAATCCGCCGGCAAAGACTTATAAATATCAACAATAGCCTTGTCCTTAATCTATGGAAATGTGCGAACATGACGATTACGTTTTACGTTATTTCTGCACAATATGGGATATTTGAAATTGCGCTTGAGTTTATTTGTCGAAACATTTATTATATTTTTGATCAATGAAATCCTGTTCAGTGATTGGTCTACATGGCATCACGTGACCAAACATAACATTGCTATGATGTAACCGTGACGTCATCCATGGTAAAGTGCACTATGCCATTGCACTATACCATGGATGACGTCATATATATACGACCGATCAAGATCAATGTACTATCGGTCGCTCTCGTCCTTGTCTATGGCAGTTTAAGAGTTAAACTCACCGCTACAGAAGACGACCTTGCCTGACCTCCTGCCGCACCAGCAATCCTGGTGGAATTGTTCGCAGTCTGGCGTTAAGTAAAACAAAAAAAAACAAAAATAAATGAAAGCAAAATTGAAAAAATATGTAGAGGACTCATTAATCATTTACATCCCAACTATTCACGGATTATTTAACATATAGAGAGGCGTCACTGCGTGCAAATTAAGAATCAATCCCAAAGTGATGAAGATTTTCCATGAAATTCTTAGTTTCCCCTTCTGAAAAGATACTTGAATCTGCGCATTATGGAAGCATGATAAATGAATAATGATATTAGTCAACTTTCATTTTCCCCTAGATATGATCTTTTATGTGGGTTTTACAAATGTGGTTCAAATGCTATTGTCTTCTCATGTGCAGATTAAATTTTTTGTGAATACTCACACACGCGCATACATGCACATACTCGCTTTCTCTCTCTCATTCTCCCCCTCTCTATCTCTTAATTAATACACCTCTCTCACTTTGTTTTATTTCCCATTATTGTTCCTATATGTTTTCTCTCTTATTACGCTCTGATATTTACAAGATCATGATAATATTAATACTTACACTTGTACTTCTTCAAGTTTTGTCCCCTCTTCTCAGCCATGAAGAAGTCCTCCATTGTGTTCTCCTCGAAATCGGTTGCGAGGGCGGCAACGATGAGAATGGCAGCGAGAACGAAGAAGAGAGCCTTGGCCATTTTGATTGGTCGTTAGCTGATTAAAAAATATTGTTGTAGGATGAGACAGCTGTTAAAGAAAGCTATTAATATGGTAACTTCATGAACTGGAACCCGGGAGAAGGGGGGGGGGGGAGGGTGGTGCCTGATTTTGTGTGATCTGATGAAAAGAGTTGCGCTAACATGACCTAAAGATAGGCATTCATAGTTAAATGTTTGCACTGATATAATTATATATGTAGGTCTACCTCTTGTTTTTTTCTCCGAATCTCATACGTAATAAGTTAAACAATTACCGTAGCTCAAGCTAACACAGACAAAACTGCATGCTGCAACCTACATTTGTGGAATCCTACTTCGAAAAATATTTGAAGGTTAATTAATATTTATAAAGGACAGGTTTCGGAACAGCCCACGAGATCGACAGCTCAGGAGACGGACAATATTAGTCTGGTGAACCGTCAAAAACGTTGTTGGAAGGCCCACATACAAGACGGACATATCGGTCTCGTAAGCTGTCGATCTCGCTGGATGTTGGTCTCGTGGGCTGTTGGTCTCGTAGGCTGTTGGTCTCGTGGGCGGTTGGTCTCGTGGGATGTTGGTCTCGTAGGCTGTCGATCTCGCTGGATGTTGGTCTCGTGGGCTGTTGGTCTCGTAGGCTGTTGGTCTCGTCGGCCGCCG